TGCATTCTCTCTTCTCTAAGGGCTAATAATAATAATAATAATAATAATAATAATAATAATACAAACATTTTCACCAATGAAGCCATTTTGTGAGAGCAACCATGCCACTGAAATATATTATTGGATTCTGGGGAAGTTGCAGGGTTAAAAATGTCTGCCCCTTATAATTATCCCTGCCTCAAGACGTATGCCACAGACAACATATATCTTAGTTAAACTCCAACATTGCTGAAGAGGTGGATTAGGCCATCAAGCACCACAAGAAGAAATGTGCATGGCAGTGACCTAATGTGCAGCAATACAGGCTAGAATTCATTGTTATGGCCTGTCATTCCTATAACTGAAAGTCAAAGACCAATTAACAATCCCATTAATAAGATGTATTACCACAATATATGCAGCTGAGGCCAGCCTAGTCCTTGTGCACAACTGGCTTTTCCTGAAATGATCTTGTTTGTGAAAGCTGCAGCGGTTTCTTTATAGTTTAATTTTTCAAAAACTTATTATTAGTGTTTTTATCATGTAGTGCTATTATTTTACTGTAACAGAGCCCTAACCCTAACCCTAACCCTCATCTCCCCTCTCATCCATTTCCCAAATCTTACAGATAAACCACTCAGATGAATTGCTAGTGCTCCTAGAGAATGGGTATCATTTCACAACTACTATGGCTCTTTGCATTAAGTAGAAATATAGAAGGGGATGTTTTTAATTACATCAAATTCTGAAATGCTGAGTGACAGAAACCATGCTTTTTTGAAGAGTGACATTTGCTCCAAAGTCTGAGACCTAATTTCTTATACTTACATCTGTAGAGAAAAATATAGAAGTGTATTGGCTTCTGCAGACTCAGAAATAAAGTTATTTTGAAGTCATAATACGCTTTCTGTATCCTTCTAGACTACCAATCTTACGAGAACACCTTCTGTTCTCGTCCCAGCTCTTTCCCACAAACAAGATCTATCTGAAGTCTTCCAAATTGCTTTTTAATCAGCAGTCACAAAAAAGTACCAAATCAAGTAGTTTTATGTAAATGTGAGTAGCCTGTGTAAATGATGGCATTGGAATCTCCCTAGGCTTAGTACTGCATTTTCTTGGTATAAAATTTATGTTCTTATATTAACACATACATGTCTCACCAATCCTAAAACATGGGCAAGGGTTAGCTATGCTGTTGCGACATTTTCCCATAATGTGACATGTTTCAGGAGTTCTGATTATGAGCAGGAAAATAGATCTGGAAACTTGATGATAAAAATTCTGAAATCAAAATTCCAGTTACAGGACTATCTTTTGACTGAGAGCGAGGAACTGAGAGTGTGCTGAGGCAGAAGAGAATTCAATTAGAAACCTGTAAAGCTGTGCCACTCCAAAACCTTTTCACAGTTTAAAAGAGTAAGTTTATAGCAGCTTAGTTAAATATGATATTTTGATTTCTGTTTGATATTTTCACTTGCCCAAATTGCAGAATTTAAAATTGTCTGTATAACAGAAAGCAAAGAACAGCACAAATCACACAAGTTATAAAAACAACACCTGGGCTGAGATCGCAGACAGATGACTGCTCTCTCTTCTACTTCTGGTACAGAGAACCCATGTCACTTGTGCAATCCCCTGCTCTCCAAATGCTGTGCAACTGCAACTTAGCATTATCAATATTGCTAAAAAGAATGTTTATTGGCTCTCAGCATAGCACTTATAAGAACTGAAATCCAACAACTTTGGGAAGTCGTATATTCTCTATCATTGCATTAAAGAGCTATATAAGAAGTATTCACAGATAAGGCTACCTAAAGGGGCATATAGTGATAGCAGGGAAGGTCATGAGAGCCATTATGATGTACCTCAGCAGGAGTTCACCTTGCTCACAGCTCTCACCAAGCAACCAAGCATGGTAATAAACTATTGATAAAACATAGATAAAAATGGCCAAAGGCACCTTAAGCAAATAGAAGGGTAAAAATCCAAGAGTTAATAGAAGCAAGCCCCAAATGCAATAGGTAAATCCAGAAAACAATGATTAAAACATAAATATTAATCCAGGAAACAAAGAGTAAAACATGAGCATGAATCCAGAGCAAAACTTGACCATGAATCTTGGGTCTTGAACTAAGGCATTAACCAGAAACGAGGCAGGAGTTCCACACTCCAATAGCAACATTGCTTGATCTAAAATTCTAACAGTCTCTCTCTCTCATTTAAGGACGGTAAAACATGAACTTGACCTTGAGAGGCCTGCTTCTGCCTTTCTTTCTCAGGAGTTTTCCTGCACCTGAATCTCTGTCTCCTCAGAAGCAGCCTGGTATCTCTGTTTAAGCCAGCTGCTTCCTCAGATGAACTAATGTTATCCTCCTCCCCCTGCCTGTTGGCTTCCAAAACAGTTTCTCTCACACACTTTGTCTCAGCAACAGCATCTTGCTCCAAAAACCCCTCCGTTCCTTCCACTGGAGAACCATCCTGCTCTAAAAACTCCTCTGTTTGCTCACCTAGAGAACCATCAGGCCCTGAACCCCCAAACCTCTCATCTCCATCTGGCTGAACTACATTACAGATGTTAATTCTGCAGAGAAAAGCATTCTACTTCATACAATAAGAAGAACAATTCACTTTTTCTCCCACACTAACTCACATAAGATCCATATACACTTAAGAGATCAGAAACGAAGTCCATCTGAAGCTGTCTGCTCCACTGACAAAAGTGTACCAAAATATTAATATATCATTGGAAGACACTAAGAACTGAAAGGGAACCTTGTGTATGGAAAATACACAAGCCCAAATAACCTCATATTTCTCCCGATTACTTTTATAGAGGAAAGGTAGCAGGGAGTGAAATTCTGGGCTCCAGGCCTGCTCAAGAAGAAAGAAAACCAAACTTCCCCGCCCACACTGAGCTTCACTCAAGATTATATCTGCTGTTCTTTTTTTCATTAAAAGAAATATAAGGGAAATGTTGCGCATGACTATCCTGAACAATCCCTTTATTATTTGACATAGGACATTTTCATATTTGAAATCAGCCCACACATTATTTTGATAATATTCAGAGAAATACAAGTTATTTGATCATGGTTCAAGGTTCTGGAAAGCTAGCCAAAACCACAGCTCCTATGAATTATGAGGAACCCACTATCTTCTCCCACTAAGGTTCTAAAAATAGACAAATAATAATCAATAATAGTGACTGTAGATTTATAGTGACCTATTGAGGCACCCATGAGGTAAGCTGTTTTATTATTTTATCATGCAAACATGATAAAGTGAGTGTAAAATTTGAAAGGCTAATTAGAATTTAAAGAACAAATCTCATGTGTTTTGGTACTGAATAATTGGTACACACACAAATCACACAGAATATACATGGCAATTATAAAGGTCATACATAATGTTGCAGAAGAACAGATTCCTTGGAAAGTTTGTGGCATATTTTTGAGAAATATCTACAACAAATAGAATGAGATAAACATAAAAGGTAATTCTAACTATACTACTTAAATTCTTCTAGGTATTCGCATCTTACTTCTATTAAATCCAAGGGATTACCAGATTACCATTTTTGTATTAGTGGATCCATTAGTGGAAACACCAGAAATTAATATATTTGACATAAAAGTAGTTTTTGATACAAGCAAATACAGATAAATGTCCCAAACCAACAAAATGGCTTGCAATGCTTGCAAAAAATGATGTAATTGATTCTGGATGCCTGAGCAATATTTCCATTTGATGATTGATGAGAATGAACTTTATTCCATTTGTTTCTTTTAAAAATGATACATTTATCTTCACCAATCTTCCAAATTCAAATGCAAGTCTACATAATGTTCAGACACAAGCATGAACACAAGCCAGATCTGCTGGGCTGTATTTATCAGTGCTGCTAGATCAGGTTTGCTTTGCTGTTTCCTCCATAAAACCGAAGAAGACACCACATGGGTAAGCACATGTGCCAGTAAAATTGCTGCCTCTGCACAGCTGGGAAAGTGTAACATGACTATAAAGAAGAAATGAGAAAACACTATCACTTTGACTCATCTGGAGACATTTGCATATGGAAACAGGCTTTGTTAGCATCTCTTCAAGTAAAAAAGGTCCTCTGTGTACAAAAAGTACATATGTGGCCCTTGATATTAAAAATTCTGATGCGGTAGCCAAGGCACGTAGCTCAGGTCATATCACTGGCAGCCATGTCTTATTTTTGCAGACTTGAAACAGGGGACTTAAATTGCTTTTTTTTCCTTCCTCAACAAATGATAGGGATTATTGTCAATCATCTGACAGTGGCTACACAGTCAGATAGCTACACTAGGATTTCTACTGTTAACACATAGAGTGGGATTAGAGGCTGTGTAAAGGACTAACTTGAAAGCAAGATGCAAGGGAGATACAAAGTAGTTCTAAATCTGCAGGTAAAGGAACTGGTAATTCCTACTTGGATTGCAGTTTTAATATGCTAAATGAAAGAGAAGTTTTAAAAATACCCTGCTGGATGCACAGTTTCTTATTCATTTCTCTAGATCAGAACCATTAAATATGCTAAATGATTTGCCTTAAATATTGCCACAAGGGACATTTAAGACTAATCAGCTAACATAGTTGGTTTCTCACCATTACAGCTATTTGTATTACTGACACATTAACATACAAATGTCAAAGAAACCAAACACAACAGGTGAAAATAAAACTTGAAACCATATATGAAGATAACAGTTAAGAAAAATCAATATATTGTCGGATTTTGCAGGTTTTACTTTTGTTTGTGGCTTTGATAAAATATCATTTCCAGGTGCTCCAGCGTAACTCTACTGTCAACTTGTAGTGGAAGCTAATCACCAAGTTGTGCTAGAGGAAATGGAGACCCCTAAAGAGGTATTCTCTTAGGTAAAAAAGTAGCAATTTGTTTACTTGTAGTTTTTCACTTTCGTGCTGGTCTTGAACCCCTAACCCCAGCGAGTGTGGAAGGCTCACTGTATGGTTCTTTGATATTATCAAAATCTTACCTGGGGTATATCCCACTGATCATATCATTCTGAAGGGAATTCTCTGTTGTTATGCTAGGCCCAGCTGCCTTAGACATAAGTAATACCACCAGACCTCTCATCTGCAGGTTGTTTCTGCTATCAGACACAAAACCTCTGTAAAGGAAAAAGATAATAAAGTCAGAACAGTATTTCCTCAAATTATTCCATCATAATATGCCATTTCAGATGAACATCTAAATAATAGTTTCAGTTAGTGGAAATGAATCCGTAATGTTGTGTTCCTTCTTCCTAAATAAATGGTGAAAGTCATAGAGGTGATGAGTGAAATTTGGTCTCTGAAGGGTATCTGTTCAGTCTCTGGAACCATCACAGACCCCAAATAGCAACCTTTTTTTTTTTAAAGAAAAGTGGAGGATTAGGGAATTGTACTTCCAGAAGTTTCTGGCAACCACAATCCTATGACAAAAGTCCCCCTCTCCCATTTGGGGGGGGGGGGGCATTTTCTCTGGCTAGAAAAGGAAATGAGCTTCCAGTCAATTATTTGGTTTGGCTGGTGGAACAAGTGCGGGAAATGGGGCCCAGATGCCTCAGAGTTGCAGACCTAAACCATGTTTAAGTTTAGGAATTATTTAGATCTGTTGAAAGTGTCATTCCCTTGGCAGTAGCTTGATGAGGATGAAATGACGGTGGTAGGTAGGGTCGAAGAAAAAATCCAAAAGTAGATATGGCACGAGCCAAATGGTATGCACTTGCTGAAAGCTAACATTAGATAATCCAATTCTTTTTTTCCCTTGTCCTTTCATTCCCCATTTTATATCTCACTTTTGAACACCCTCTCTTTCTGTGTTGCCCCCTTCGCTATGCCTCCCTTCCACTCCTCTTCTTCTCCATCTAATGGACTGATGGTGAAGAATAGACCATAATTGATAGCTTGCAGAAGACTTTTTAAGATTGGCTAGACTGCTCTGTGACATCAAAAGGAGGCCTACAAACTACTTGAGATACAAAAGTTGCTTAGGCCCAGTACATGTAAACTGAAACAGGCTAGAGCAAAAGATCTAAAAATTACACTTTCCACTTCTGTAATAATTTTTCATTAATGTACCAAGTGAGGCTACTGCTCACAACTTGCTCTTTCAACAGGCAAGAACTAGTCTGCTTTTAACAATCTCTGCAAATCATTATTTTAAGATGGGTGTTTGACAGGTGGGAAATACAAGAAAGAAATGAAGGAAGAAACAAGGAGATGGAAGAAAGAAACATGAGGACAATGAATGAATTCCAGGTCCAACAAACCATGGTGACACAGCCTAAATGTGTGCGATCTTTGGTGGGATCGGTAGACCAACTATATTTTCACACGTATTATTAAAGGAAAACATCTATATCATTGATAGATATGCTTTGGATTGTGTGGAAAATCACAACATTCTTTTCATCTTAAGCTCTTAGCAAAGTTTCTGTTTCAAAATCTTTGATTTCCACAAATTTTGAAGATGATGAAAACAGACATGTATATCATTGCCTTCTCTGGTGAAGAAACAATATTCAGGGGAAGAATCAACACATATAGTATATAGTATACAGAAACAAATAACATTCCTGTGCTATGCCATAAGAATATATTCAGTTAAGTACAAAGATAATGTGCAAGTTATATGACGATTTTTGAAAAAATCAATACTTAAATTAGAGGCTCAAACCTAGTTAGAAAATATGTTCAGTCACCACAGTCACCCTCATTTTGGCTGAATAAAATGTAAATTAAATCTACTAAGGTAAGACAGGAGTTAGATTAAAAATAGAATTCCAAGGAAGAAACAGTGAAGAGATGCTAACCTGTGAAATAACCCAACTTACTGATAAAACAGCTGCTAATCAGTAGCATTTCTAGACAGAAAAATGTCAGTGGATAAAATACAAAGGAGGAATCTTGTTAAAGGAGAATGATAAATAATGCAGTATTCATTTACATGACTATTACTATTAAGTGTTCTATAGTTATTAATGGTTTCTTTACCCAAGTTATGACCTAAGTAAAAGCTGAAGTACTTTTATACCCCAAGTGGCAAACAGAATGATATTGGTGATATGTACTCAATCTTCACTAGAGCAAATTACATGAGACTTCAAACAAATAAAGCCTAAGGTGACCATCCTTTAGCAACTAGAAGCTATTGCAGTCACTTGACATGGCTCCGGGGGTCACATTCACATTCTACCTGAATCCAGTTCCCCAGAGATACTGAATCCTAGTCACAGGTACATAAAAGACTTCCAGATGGTGCAATTATTCTTGATGGGTATGTAGCTGAAGACAGGTGCCTCTGGGAGAAAAACTGAACTGAAAGCAGCCCAAGTAAAATTGGGTGCACAAATACACACACACACATCTGTATCAGACAGATTATTTATTAAAAGTTTGGGCAAAGTAGAACCACAAGTATATAAACATAAATATAAATCTCTCAAGATTATGATGCCCCTTCTGTTTCGTACATCTTGCAATTATTACATAGAGTACCCTCAAGGTAAATAAAATTAGACTTGTACAATGTGCCTTGGCAAATCTAGATTTACAGAACAAGAAAGAATACTAAAAGTGATGTCCAATTACTGTATTATTCATGTGACAAAACTAGTTTTTTTTTAAAAAAAAAAACAGACAGATTTAATTGCAAAACTGTTTTTTGTTAAAAAAAATCCTGTTGATGGAGGGGGGGAGGAGAGTCTAGCTCTGAAACAAATACACTATTATGGTATGTTGAGATAAGACTCGCACCACCCACACAAGCTGTAACACAGGCTAATAGTTTATGTGCTGAAAGAATTACACCTCCCACTACCGTCCATCTGTTTAAAAGAATAAATCACACAAACATGAGCATTCCCACTAAAAATGTGTACACTTCAACTTCTAACAACCAGCCATTTCACTTTTGAAGTAGAGATAAGAGATGAATCCATAGTTTCAGTGATTTAGCTGCACTCTGCGCTGAAATATTTTTGCCAGAATGAAAAAAAATAGTAGTAGTAATTTGGAGGCAGAGTCCTACTGACAATAGACTCTTCAAATATATTTTTTCCAAAATATTGTATTTACAATGTATCAGACAAAACCAATCCAGAACATCTGGTGGCAAAACACATTCTTTTCTATAGCAGACAGAAAAGCAGGGAATTATTTAGGGGGAAATGTAGAAAAATCCAATAGGACTTTACAACTTCATGAGGAAGTGAGATCTAAACCACGTAAATACAGGGGAAAATAAACTCTCCTAGTGAAATGGCAGTACTTGTAGAACATTTCCATACATCCAATATGGTGCATGATTTCGATGCTATCATCATGATTATCCAAGAGCAGCACTATGTATGTTAGATGCTAGTATGGTATTGATTTCCCACACCCAAGCTCCATGGACTACCTGTCCTTAACATGAAGACATTTTCTTCAATTCTTCCCCAGACCCTTCTTGAGTTCACATTAGAACATTCAATGATTTCTGAAGGATTTCCTTAGATGTTAAGATTGGCAAAGTATTCCCTCTTCATAGTGCCATGGAGTAGCATGACATCCATGCTTACCATCTCCATCTGGGACTTACCCCTCCCTGCCATGCAACTCCCTTCCAGAAGATGAATCTATATAAATATTTAGATATTTCTAAGTTTTGATTTTAGTACATGTTTTATATTAATTGTTTACTGTCCTGGAACTGGTGAAGAAGGCTGGGATAACACAACTGCCTCTGTTTAATCATAAAAGCCCACTCCAACTTCTAAAGCAAAATCATCTGGGACTTCATAGGGTCTTCGAAATGAGCCTTTTATGGCACAACGGCAGTGGCAGTCTTCATTCACAGAATTTTGAGAGATTGCTTCATTCATAATTTTGCAACAAATCCATCTTCCACTCTGTCATGTTTTGCAATTGCTTTTTCTATCTTTTTTTCTTATGAGGAAAAAATGTTAAATAAAAAATTGAATAGCTATACAATGTCCTCTATCTGAAAGAACAAATATACAGTCGGCTCTCTGGATCTTCAGGGGTTTAGGTTCAAGGGCCTTGTAGATGGCAAAAAACACAGGTCGCCATGCCCCATATTATTGAACAGCAACAGCATATCCATGTACATCCAGATGCCACCATTTAAGATATGGGTCACAATGATCTGCAATTGGTTTACATCACAGGTGAAGAGCCTACGGATTGGAAGGGCCTACTGTTTTACCTCTTAGATAACTCTAGTTACCTTGGATGGAAGGAATGATAGAATTTTAGGATGATAATGCATATCACTCTGTTTCTGGGAATTAGCATGATCCTCAACACTTGTACACTCTGACTTTCCCCCCACTAAATCCAGATTACAGAATGCTACAAAGAGCAAACAAGCTGTGCCTCACTAAAGACACATGAAGACAAGGGATAATATAAATAATTCCAGAAAAGGTTTAAATAAATATTCATTTCCTAAAACCTACATAATTATATTTTTACTGCACTGTGGAATCCCACAATACAGCTAGCAAAGTAGCTGTCTACATGACTATACTATACACCATATCATATCCACACACAAATGACCAAGTTACCATTTGTGGGGAAAATGCATATATTTTAATACATTTTTACAGTTAACAACTGGTAAAAAAAAAACGAACTACAACATTTCTGATATATTTCTCATGTGCATATTCCTCCCTGAGAGAGAGCAAGATTTTCAAAGGTGGAAAATTTAAGTAACTTGCGGTTTTGGAAATGTTAGTTTCCACAGCAACCAGAATAATTTTCTTTATATAGCATTATCAACAGATGGCAAAAAAAGTGGCCACGTTTGTTTCTTTCCCAGATTGTCAATGAAAACTTTAGTCCTACATAATACTGCTGTGTTATTAAATAATCTAGCCATGCTAGCCACAGAATCTATCCTAGACAAATACAATTACATCTGTATTTTCTTTCATACATACAACTCTAACAGAGCAGGCTCACTCTGTTCACAGTCTTCTTTGGAAAAACTACTAAAGACATCCATTTACCACTTGGCATACAAGGTATAATCGCATTTGTACATATTGGAAGTAAAATAGCATATTGCAGCTGTAACAGTTTATTTGCTATGTATCTTTTGTACTTAATTTTGCCC